CACCCTGGCCAGACACTGCCTCCGTCCGGCGTGAGGCCCCCAAGGCTTCAAGGGCGAGACCCCTTGCCTTGCGAGGAGAGGCTGCCGGACAGGATCTTGTTGAGCCTGTAGAAGAAATGGCTTCAGGGGCACCTCGCAGCAGCTCCTGGTATCAAGGAGAGGAGTTGGGCTCTTTATAAGAAAAAGGTTCCGACTGGATATAAGGAAGGCATTTTCCCCCATGTAGACAGTTGAGCAGTGGAGCAGGCTGTCCAGAGAGACTGTGTCATCTCCATCGTTGGAGGTTTTCCAGACCAAACTGGATAAAGCCCTGAATAACCTAGTCTGACCCTACAGCTGTCCCCACTTTGAGCAGGAGGTCGGACTAGAGACCTCCCAAGATCTCTTCCAACCTGAATTACGCTATGGTTCATCCTACGAAATTAACAAAGACACACAGTAATACAGCTATATATCATTCACCTAGTCTCTTCATATTCTGTCAATCACATGCTGTGTCCCGCTTGACTTACTGATTGGACTGACCCACTTCCAGTAGGGGAAATCTCTACTCACCTTATTTAGAACTCTCTTCTTTCATTCAAAAAGGCAGAGCAAGAGCCACTTTGGCTAAAGTAAAATACCAGCTCAATTGAATGAGGAAAGAGCTGCTAATTCCTTCCAGCCAGAGCATCAGTATTTTAATCTTTTAGCAAGATCTGAGTACAACTATGTCCAGCAGCAAGAAATAGTATAGCCTCCATTTTTCTTTGGGCAATATCATCAGTTCTCAATTTGAGTCTTCAATCACAGAACTAAATAGAGGCGGGGCTAATCGCTGCAGAACCAGGAGGCACACTTTTGGGGCCGACAAACGTTATGCTAGGTATTCAGTTTATTTGACCAGCTGAATGTTTTGTTTCACTGGCAGGTGTCAGGGTCCTGAGCGCACAAACTGGCCTTACTTTCCCTGATTAGCCCTCAGCACAGCCCTCAATGCACACACCTTCCGCCCACAAGCCAGATTCAAGTGCAGCACTCCTGGCCCTCCTGGACTACAGCGTACCTGCCTCCTGCTGTTTTAGTGGGTTTTCCGGCATTGACCCCAGACCCGACTTGCTATCCTTGCTTTGTCTACGTAATGGGATCTGTTCCTGTCACCAACCCTGCCCTGCACATCTTGTCTGGGCGCTGCAGGACTGCATGCTGTTAGTGAGGACATAGTCCCTCTCTGTACTGCGGTCACCCTCAGCTCCAGGTACCACATACCGAAGCCACGAACAAACACAGATGCTGATGAAGATTACAAAGGACTTGATGTCCATCTGCCAAGATGAAGCACTGCCAATACAGCAGATCCTGCCTGATGGCAGGCGCCAACTGGCTGGGGAGCAGCTTTGCTGAAAAGCTTTTGGATGTCCTGGTGGACAGCAAGCTTGACATGAGCATAAAACACATCTTTAGGCTAATGTATTTATTTAGCAGAGACTTCCAAAAGAAAAGCATCCAAGTTTTAAGAAGCAAAAGATACTTTCTAGATATTCTCAGGTTTCAGTAGTAGAAGTGGTATAAAACGGTAGGAGTTTTTAGAGCTGAAGACTTACGATAAACTTCCGTACTGCAGTACCTTCAAAGCTTTGGCATTTATTGTCAGCTTAAGGCTGCATAGCAAGCATGTCTCTGTCCTCTTTTTCCCATGCGTGAGCAGCATTTAACGTTTATGGCAATGCTGTCATTTTACCCCACGTGTAACAAACATTCACGGCTACTGGAGGCCAAATAACTTTGAACTGTGCATCATCAACTGCAACCAGTACTCTAAATGAATATACTGTTCCACAAATAATTTAGTAAAAATATTAGCAAGTGAGAACAAAAAAAGAAGCCTGAGAAGAGGCATATGCACATGAAAACACGTACAGGCATTTTTGATAATGCACTAAAAACTTCCACTCCAAACCCTGGATACCCAGGGTCTCGGGTTTTTTCAAAGTTATTATCAGGCAGGCAAGCCAAGACCTGAGAATTACCAGAAAATGAAAAGACTTCTCCACTGAAAGGCAGTTTTGAGAAAGCAACCATATATTTGTATATCCAACTGATCGCTGATCTTTCAGTCCATAAGGAAATAGACATTATTATTTCACTTTTGTCTCAACCAATAAGGTAAAGAAATAACCTACAATTAATAAACCTTCCCCTTCTAAGACACTATTGCATTTAAGAGCTCAAAATTTAAAGAACATTACAGCTGGAATGACTAAAAGCTGTTTATTAAAATAGTCCTATGGGCTTAAAACAAACAAAGATGCAGACAAGACATGCCCAATGTCATCAATATCTTCGAGCAAAGATTTGTCACAGAAGTATCTCCTGAGCTACAATTCCACTGCTACAAAGACATCGTGGTACAACAGAAATAACTAGTGCAATAGAACGGACAAGAGCAACTTTTAAAAAAATACTGAAGTTGTTTTGCAGCCAGAATCAGTTTTTAATTAGTAGGACATTAAACACATCCCAAAAGGACTACCTACTAGTCCTAGTTACTAATCTTTTATACTCAATACAGCCTATCATTACCCTTGCTGCAATAACACCTCCACAGAAGCCACCATAAAACAACATTTTCCAAACTCTCATCGCTATTTTACTTCTTTTACACTGTGGCAAACCCTAGAAAACCATACCAAAGGTGGTGGTGGTAGTGGGGGGAGAGGGGGTTGCCTAGATTTGCCCACACCTTTTGAATTGGAAGTTAATTAGGGATAGTCATTGTTATCCAATATATGAAATAGTCCAATAATCTCTTGTGAACCATATTACAAAGAAATATGTAAAACAGTTTTTGCATGCTAGAATCAAAGAGAATATGCTTGGTTTCAGAAGATGGGAACTTTTTGCAATTCTCAGTGTGGCTAGCAAGTAAAAATATTAAAATATACGTTATGTTTGTGTATGTTGTTGTGCATGTTTGCAGCAAATGGCTATGGTCACAACGATGTTATCACTTACCAAAATCTACTCTCGTTAGTATGCACTGCATGGGATGGTCCGTTGTATGCCTTGTTGTTGTTGCACCACTTTCATAACAAGTTGCACACAGATCGTAATCGTAGCAAATTAAACACTTGTATCTGCGACCTCGAAAATTTCCTTTTAAACATGCATCGCAGCTGACACCTATAAACAAATAAAATTGCATGAAAACATCAATAAACGCACTGTTTTTCAGTAAGAGAGAGATTTGTTAGTATTCCCTCCCAAGAACCCAAAGAAGCAAGCCATCTCTGACACATGCAGCTGACATATACATCCACATTTTAAGTGCATTTATCTCATAAAAAGACACTAGTCTCCTAAAAGGAAAATCTTGAACTCTGAAAGTAAAACAAGAGCAAATTCAAGCATCTGAAATGACAACTGGTTAAGCTATAAAAATCGCTTTAGACCTGCCTTTGTATGGAAGCCTTTATCTGGTAGCATGACTGGTGTTTTGACTGCTGTTAAAGTAGGTTTGACCCAAGCTTCCTAAGCTAAACAGCAACATGGCTGATGGAGGCAATTGAGAGGAAAAACAAACAAACAAACAAACAAACAAAAAAAAAACCCCACAACAACAAACCACCGAGAAGAATCCACTAGCTTTTATGTCTTTACTTTCCTGCTTACTAGTATTTCAGTTCTGAAGAACAGCATAACCACCTCTGCTAATATATGTGGGGTAGAAATTAAACAATTTTTTTTTTGCTGTTTTAAGGAATAGGAAAAAATTAAGATGCTTTTGTAGTTAGGTTGCATCAGTTTTCTCCACCTTCTTCCTTTCTGGAGTTCAAATCTTTGACACCTGTAATGTGACTAGTTTACAATGCAAAAAAAATGCTTCAAAGCTTCTAAAGGTTTTCATTTTCCCAGTGTGGTTTCAGATCTCTGTTGGTTACTTAGGTGAGTGCATGGGAAACATCACCATCTTGTCATCGCTCCTTTAACTGCACCAGCAAATTAAGCACCTCCATGAAAGAAACAAGTGCATACAACACATGCAGTATTTTGATCAATATTCTCCTTCAGCATTAACTACAACACGATCTTCATAGTTTAGCAGCTACAGCCAACCTTACAGAGGCAGAGTTTACAGAACAAAATAGCTACATTAATATCTGCCATCCCCCCTTTTTTAAGCCTAATTAACAGAGGACGAACGTTATTTGCAGGAAAAAAAAAACTGCGTTCTGTGTTGTGCTACTCTACTCTAGCATTTGAGCAGAAGCTTTAACGCTTGTTATACTAGAACGCAACTAGAATTTCACTCACATCTTTGTTACTCATTTCAATGCATTTACACATTACATGACATTAAACACATCACCACATTTAGATGAACCATGGACAAAACAATGTTTTGTCAGTTTTCCTTTCACTCTCTTTACTCACAGGCTTACTTTAAAGCATAAATCATCATTACCACTGTCTGACTAACCACCATGCACCAGTATGAATATTGAACCTTTTTCCTTAGTTGCCACACTCGCTATTCAGTTTGCAAGTGTCACTCTGCATGGAATAGTATATTCAGAAGAAATTTCTTCAAGTATATCCTTCATTGGTCATAACCTGAAAGAACTACCTTTTGATGATGTCAGTGTTAACACTGGTATGAAGTTTTTAATCCTTCCTCTTTGAAATGTTGTTCACTGAAGTTTTGTCCGTTAACTCTGAAGAACCTGTAGCAATCTTTTATGATTTATGAGACACTTAAAGTGACCTAACTTTGGAGAACATCTGCTCATTAATTCTCTGGAACGGATTTTATCGCTTACATCCATTGACTGCTTTTCTTCCTACCGAGATCTAGAACATTTTACATATGCAACATCCAAATTTCCCCAACAATGCATGGTGTACACAGAACACTCATCAGCACTCTGGCAGCACTACAAGTCTTTTTTCAGCTACTGAAATTTTTTAAAAACAGCTCATCAGCAAGTTAGGCATCACTTTGAAATAAGCAGGCTAGTTTACTATAGAGTCCATGTTACGCACTAACACTTTCTAGATGAAGTATTAAGCCATGCTTCTCCATTAAGTCATACTTTCCCCACTTCTCCTTAAATTCATAACAATTGATTTAATGCAGATGCGTGCCTCTCTGCAACTGCCAAACTCCTCCCGTCACATGTTCTCTCAAACATCTAAATAGTCCATATTTGAAGACAGACAAATGTTTAAAGTTTTTCTTTCTATCATTTTTGTTTGCTTCATGTTAATGCTTCTGCACATAATTCCATAGTACCCTCCCACACACTTTGTAATATGAACTCTGGAAAAATTCCACTATGAACATAAATGCAAACATTATATTGAAATTTAACTTTTAAATACATTTTCACCAGAAGTGTTAAAGTACAACGTCTTCAAACAGCAGATGTCTTGCTTTTTATGATTACTTCCCAATTTGAAATTCTGTGATTTGAGTTCAACAGAAAATCTAATTTTAGTGTAACCCACCATTACTGTTGGCAAAGTCAGGTCCAGGGAACAAGAGGAAGTTACACAAAGAGCATGCTTTCTACCGCTCTCAGAGCTAGCTTCACGTGACTCCAAACTACTCCCCTTCTGTGAATAAGGCTGACAACAGCGGGTGTAACAAGCTAATCTTATATCCTTTTGAGTAGCAAAAAAGGAAAATCCCAAAAGGAAACTGGTAAAATGAGGACTAAAAAAAAAAACAAAACAAAACCAAAAATCTTAAGTTTACAGCTAAAGCCATATTTAAAGCCCTAAACCTCCCACTGAAGCCAGCAGAACCTCATTTTCAGAAGTTATATCGCTTATTCTTCCATTTTAATAAAGTCTCTGAAATTCAGCTCTGTTTTAGTTTTTCCCATTCTTCTTCAGGCCTATGACATGGTCGCCAAGACCTCACCCATCTATCCAAGCTGGAACTGAAAGCTGGAATACTCAGCCAATTAATCACCTCCCACCCTATTCTTGCTACCATAGTAAACACTTTCACTTCCCTAGGCAGTCTTAGATTTTTTTTTTCCAGTTTTCCCTGTCTTAGTCTTTACATTCCATCAATTAATTGTAATTCCAGAAGCTCCTTTCTTTTTCCCCCTCAAAAAACCCTCTTTTTCCCCTCAAAAAACCCAAGACTTTAAGACAACATATTCCTATCAGTACAGTATGTCTTTCAGACCTCCAGCACTTCATTTCATTTATCAGAAAAAGTTACAAATGCAGCAGGTATGCAACAAATTCAAGAACGTTAAACTAAACTGGACGTATTCACATTAATCAGAGATTTAGAGAAGAACACATGCTCAGGAAGGGTTCCCTTTGAAGTAGGCAACAAAAACAAATACAAGAGTGAACAACACGTGACAAGGTTTTAGATGTTCTGCACACAATTCTGACTTATACAGAATGGTATTGACTTTTTAAAAGCATTCGAATGAAATTCTATTACCTCTAAATGAAATCTTACTCAATGAGAACTTTTGTCTCAACTTATCTACAGCAATCATCTGGAACGATCAGAGTAAGAAACACCCCTTTTATTTAAGATGAACTGAAAACGGATTTTTTTCATGGTAAGTGATAGCAAAGGCTTTTCCAATTTTTTCCACTTTCATGTAATTGCTAAACAATTACATGAAAGTACACACACCCACAGTTTATCATGTGTTGTGTCTAATTAAAACATGTTGCTCGTTGACAAAGATTTTTTTTTTTCCAATGTAACGCTATTCCACTAGAGGGTAGCATTGTGTTAAAAGCCTAAAGACTTGGTTCACGCCACCTTTAATAATCAGCCTTCAAATTCTGAAGGGTTCTTCAACAGTATTCTCTCTCCAGAGTATCGGTCCTCATAGTCTCTTCAGGTTAACACTTTGAGTGAAAGGAGAAATAAGGAAATACCTAACCATTCCATTCATAAAATACGTTTTGGTCATTTAATACAACAGTCTCACTATTTGTACATCAAGCCACCCCACCTTTTCACCTAATGAAGGATGATTACTTCAGGAGGATATCATCACGCATACATACGTAACATGCTGGGCAATGACGTACAAAAACAAGAAAAAACCCTTTCACACTCACTCCCAGCCTGACAACCAAATATGATTTGCTCCTATGTTATAGGACTGCTTTTGCTAGAAATTAACCAAAAAGAAAGCAGCCTATCTGGGATTAAGAGTCAGAAAGACCAAAGCAAGCACATGATCTGATTTCCGAATGTAGAGAGTAATGCTGGACAGACGGCATTACCACAGCTGTGGTTCAAATACCACCTGCACTGAGATTAATTTGTTTTTACACTTGCAAACAAAGCTAAGGTGTAAAATCTAATAAGACGTCCTGAATGTCCCAAAACCAAACGACTGCCTTGGATAGACATGAGCAACTCTACGACTCATTTGGGACAGAGCAAATTCTTTCTTCCATTTGACCTCCCCAGACAGCACAGACAACCAGGAGGATAATACTAAACACACAATAATCCCGCCTAGATAAAATGACCTGAGAAATTTTATATTCTGCTTACACATAACAGGTACGATTCTTCAGGCCTGTCAAAAGCCCTCAGAAATAGCATTTCAAGGACTAGGTAGTATTACAAAAACTATGTAGTTGAACTGCGATGAAATTTTAAATAACTTTGCAAGAATGACAAAAGAAGCAAGAGGGCCTTTATCCGTTTCAGTATTTGACAGAGGAAAGCAAAGACACTGAACCAGACTCACTACTGGAAAAGGAGGGACATAATGAAATGAAACTGCATTTCTCAAAAGCCTTCAAGAAGTAGTTTCATACGTACACCTAAAACACCACAGAAACTATGGACATCTGATTTGAGGACAAGCATGAAGAGGATTAAGAGAATGTGTCCACAGTAAGTAAGAAGCACGCTTCATTTCAGAACAGTAAGCTGCAATACCTTCTACTTAAGACAATGTACAGATAAGATTTTAATGGGAAAAAATAACAATTTTTAAGGAGAAAGGGAGGAACTTATCCCTCTAGTACTACACTGAAAGACATAGTCTGTTTCAATAGACATGATTTGCAAAGCAGCAGTGAGAATGGCATCCTCACAACACATGACAGATTTCTTGAAAAATGGATTACCTCCTGAAGTGAAAAGTTCAAGTTCTTAGTATGCAGAAGCAATATTT